TTTTTTACATATATATATATTGCACCTACTTATGTAGAATTATATTTTGTGGAGTTAGGGATATTAATATAAGGTTACTTTTAGTTGAATAGTATCCTGGGATTAGGTTTGGGAAGTCCGGGTGGGGGGGGGTTTAATTGTGATGTACTTGTGATGTGTTTTTTTTTATGTTGAAAACAATAAAAAAAATTTAAATATATAAAAAAAAGACATCGATCCACAGAAGTGTAGCAGAGTTGGGGTGAGAATGGGGCCAGCTGAGAGGTTTTGCAGGAGCCCTGCCAATTATGCAGGAAGATGAGGAACTCCGGCAGCTGCCATGGGTCTGGTAGCAGGGCGTGGCGCGGAGGAGGGAAGAAAAAGGAGGAGAAAGCCGATAGAAGGGAAGAAGAGAGAAGGCTTGGTGGAGCTTGCCATGCTGAGCCAGCTGTTCGAAGAGAGAGTAAGAAGCTGGGGGTTTTGTGTTTGCTTTTTTTGCTTCGTAATAGGCAAGCCAGACGAAAGGGGGAGGGATAGAGGGTGAGAGTAGTTGCTGGAACGTTTGCTTGAAGCAGGCCAGGCAGAGAGAGAGAGAGTGGGAGTAGCTTGCTGGAGCTGTTGCTTGAAGCAGGCCAGGCAGAGAGAGAGAGAGAGAGAGAGAGAGAGAGAGAGAGAGGGTGAGAGGAGCTATTTGCTTGAAGTAGACCAGGCAGAGAGAGAGAGTGAGGGGTGGGGAAAGGTGAAGTTTTATTGTTTCCACGAAGAGAGGGAGAGAGGGTAGTTTGGGGAGTTTTAATTCCTTTCCCTCATTGGAGTAAGTTAGGCAGAGGGAAAGTTAGGAAAGAGTTTGACATACGTCTTTTAGTGGGAGGTAAGGGGTTTTTTTCTTTATAGGATCAGCTGGGGGAGATAAAAAGGGATTACAGAGTGAGGTCAGAGAGGGGCAAGGAGAGCGGAAAAGGGAGGCCTCTGCCAGCGCCAGAGACGGATTGCCATCGTTCTAGGCAAGTTGTTGCCATCAAAGACATATTAACATTGTCCTGGGCAAGTTGTTGCCACCAGAGACTGGCTACCATTGTTTTAGGCAAGTTGCTGTCACCAGAGACTGACCGCCATCGTTCTAGGCAAGTTGCCATCACCAGAGGCTGATTAACATTGTTCTGGGCAAGTCGTTGTCATTAGAGATTGAATACCATCTTCCCTATAAGTTCTTATTGCCTGAGATCAACCACCATCATCCCACGTGAATCACCATTGAGAGCGACCATCACTGCCCCATGTGCGTGGCTGCCGATCGTGACTGAATACCACCGTCTTATGTGCCCTATTAGGCAGAGGCACCAATGTGAGATACCTCCTTGGGCTGGTGGCCACTTGGAGGGGAGGTCGGAAGGGCCTGACTTAAGTGATCCCTATGGGGGTGGTGCTACAGAAGCAATCAATCAATCAGATTCCAAACTCTCCACCATGGCCAAAACCAAAGACCTGTCCAAGGATGTCAGGGACAAGACTGTAGACCTAACAAAAGGCTGGAATGGGCTACAAGACTATTGCCAAACAGCTTGGTGAGAAGTGACAACAGTTGGTGCGATTATTCACAAATGGAAGAAACACAAAATAAACTGTCAATCTCCCTCAGTCTGGGGCTCCATACAAGATCTCACCTCGTGGAGTTTCAATGATCATGAAAACGGTGAGGAATCAGCCCAGAACTACATGGGAGGATCTTGTCAATGATCTCAAGGTAGCTGGGACCATAGTCACCAAGAAAACAATTGGTAACACACTATGCCGTGAAGGACTGAAATCCTGCAGCACCCGCAAGGTCCCCCTGCTCAAGAAAGTCCATGTACAGGCCTGTCTGAAGTTTGCCAATGAACATCGGAATGATTCAGAGGAGAACTGGGTGAAAGTGTTGTGGTCAGATGAGACCAAAATCAAGCTCTTTGGCATCAACTCAACTCGCTGTGTTTGGAGGAGGAATTCTGCCTATGACCCCAAGAACACCATCCCCACCGTCAAACATGGAGGTGGAAACATTATGCTTTGGGGGTGTTTTTCTGCTAGGGGGACAGGGCAACTTCACTGCATCAAAGGGATGATGGACGTGGACAGGGCCTTGTACCGTCAAATCTTGGGTGAGAACCTCCTTCCCTCAGCCAGGGCATTGAAAATGGGTCATGGATGGGTATTCCAGCATGGGAATGACCTAAAACACTTGGCCAAGGCAACAAAGGAGTGGCTCAAGAAGAAGCACATTACAGTCTTGGAGTGGCCTAGCCATTCTCCAGACTTTAACCCCAAACAAAATCTGTGAAGGGAGCTGAAGGTTAGAGCTGCCAAATGTCAGCCTTGAAACCTTAACAACTTGGAGAGGATCTGCAAAATCCTTCCTAAGATGTGTGCAAACCTGGTGGCCAACTACAAGAAACGTCTGACCTCTGTGATTGCCAACAAGGGTTTTGCCACCAAGTACTGAGTCACGTTTTGCAAAGCGGTCAAATACTTACTTCACTCATTAAAATGCAAATCAGTTTATAACTTTTTTGAAAGGAGTTTTTCTGGATTTTTTTTGTTGTTATTCTGTCTCTCACTGTTAAAATAAACGTACCATTAAAATTATAGACTGATCATTTCTTTGTCAGTGGGCAAACGTCCAAAATCAGCAGGGAATCAAATAATTTTTTCCCTCACTGTAATGCTCTCATTTTCCCCATGACAACTGTCATCAGGAGAAGTGGGTTGGGCTGAGTGAGAAAGACTGCCCCCAAATCACTCAGCCAGCTTTCATGCCTAATTGACAGCATAAAATATAATCTGAACATATGGCATAGCATACCTTTTTCATCCTTTTATTCGGAGAATGCTCAGTTATGTCGGATTTCTTTTTGGCAGACTTCATAGTGTCCTTGCAGCAAAATATGTTCTGGAATAAAAACATTGTTAGCTCATAAAGATGCTGCCATGTTTGGCAATAATATCAGTGACATTCTCGCCTGATCCTTAGGATTCTGTGGTTTTGATGTCCACTTTTAGCCGCTTTTATCACCAGGTAATGATAATTTAGAAAGTATGCTAGCAGAGTAAATGCATGATCAAAGCATTAAAAAAACACCTGTCAATAATTGTGGCATAAATTTTCCATTGCCTCAAACTACAAAAAAATAAAAGGTCTGGTGCTAACCTGTTGTCTGCATAGCTTTAAAAACTCTCTTCAGTAGAAACATCTTTGTTGAAATAAGCAGCTACAAGCCAGCAACACAAGTTCTCAAGGAGCCCCTAAGCAGTGTTTCTCAACCTTGACAATTTTAAGGCACGTGGACTTCAACTCCCAGAATTCCACAGCCAGCATTGCTGGCTGTGGAATTCTGGGAATTGAAGTCCACATGCCTTAAAATTGTCAAGGTTGAGAAACACAGCTTAAAGATTGTCTTTAAAAACGCTGAAAGGCACCTCCAAACCATTGGTCCTACTGACAGCCTCCCCTTCTTACATTCAATTAAATATCATTTAATGGCGGACAAGCAACCTCAAGACATGCAATTTATATGAGATTATACAACTTATTTCAAAGGGCTTGAATCCCTGCCTTCCCGCTAAATTAATTTTATTTACTCCAACTTCCCTCCACTCCAAAAGTTCACTTGCCGCTTTCAAGCTCAAGCAGAAATTCTTGTACGCTTTTAACTAAGCCGTGTCCCTGTGACTTTTGATCCACGGTTCTACCTTAGCTTGTTCAATGAGATCAAGTATTCTGGGTTATTAAGCAAACCGTGGTTTTAATCAAGACATGTGGCTTGCACAGGAGTCCTTTCTTCAATCTGCGAAGTCAGTGATTGGTGGTTGGGATTTTAGTCTTGTTCCGGATGCTCAAAAGGATCTTCGCGCTCATCGGTGGAGGAAACCCGGCAACTTCGGGACTCTCCTTCCCTTCTTCTTATTCAAATGCTTCGAGGCATATTATGTCGGACCTCCTTCCCTTGCCCACAAATTACTTAGATAATTAGGGGTCCTCCGGCAGTTCTATTTAACTCCCTTCGCTGAAACGAAGTAGATTCCGCCCGGAACGAGGAGGATCTCAACAAGGTCCTTGCAGTTTGAAATCCCTTTCATGCTGGGCGCTCTTACCTTTCAAGCACGGAGCTGGGAGCGTCGGAGAAAACGATGCTTTCTCACCGCAGGTCCGGCAAAGACTGCGGTATCCGCAGCACAGCGTTGACATCATCCCGTTCGGTTTCTTGGCGAAGACAAATCGAAACCTACTCCGGAAACGAAAGTAATCCACAATACCGAGAGCTTTCCGTTTCCCGAAAAGCAGCGCGCTCGCTCCCTTCGAGAGCGAGTTTCGTTTCCGACAGCTAATTTGAATCATTTTCTGAGAACTTGCGGGGAAGGGGGAAAAAAAAACGAAACCGAAAAAGCACTTTTTTTCCCCCCTTTTGGAGACCTCAACTCCAACAATATTCCTTTCTCTCAAAAGGATTAGCAATAAACGACCTCATTCTTTGCTTTGCGCGTGTTTAGTGTTTTTTAAAGTATTTGAAAAACGGCTAAAGGTAAATAAACCAAATGATTAAGTATTAAGAAATATGAAAATAATAAAGTAGCAATTTGCTTAGTCCACTATGAATTCTTAAAGAGGCATAATTCGTATTTTAGTTACGGTACTCCATCGGCTCTCCTGCTTTTCAAGAGCGACCCTGTAAATTTAGCGGTTCTTTATCCAGAGTAAAGCTGGCTTTTCAAGAGCTGCGATCAGAATAGGAGAATAACAGAGTTGGAAGGGACCTTGGAGGTCTTTTAGTCCAGCATCCTGCTCAGGCAGGAAACTCTAGGCCTTTTCAGACAAATGGCTGTCCAATCTCTTAAAAACCTCCAGTGTTGGAACAATCACAATTTATGATTGTTCCACTGAAAGGTCCAGATTGCCCATCCATAACATAGCTTTGTGGTCCCATGTGGTCCTGTTCCAAAACATTCATCTTTTCAGCATCAGATTTGAAACAAATCCACCAAACTTTTGGAGGAACTTCTGCTCCACCCCCCGATCTATGAATTCATATTGCTTTACCTTATTTATTTTATTTATTTATTAAATTTATATACCGCCCTATCTCCCTTACGGGACTCAGGGCGGTGAACAGGCGATACTAAAAACCACGATAATAAATAAATAGTTTCTGTTCTAAAATTGAATTAAATAATAGGCCTGTTCTAAAAACACACCCATACAAAAACCCCCACTGAAACATAATCAAACTACGCCAGGCCGGCCGCACGGAATAGATGGGCCTTCAGGGATCGGCAAAAAAGGCGCAGGTCCGCAACTTCTATTTCAGACATGTCAAACACAAGGCCCAGGGGCCGGATGCGGCCCGCAAAGTGGTTTCATGTGGCCTGTGAAGCCATCCTGGAAACAGTGAGGGAATGGCCCCCTCTGCCTTGACCCTGGCCCAGGCCGCCCGGGAGCCAATGTACAATTTTGTGGCGGCCATCTATGCTGAAACGCATTCAGTCTTAGCTCCACAAGGCCGTCTGGAAACAGTGAGGAACCAGACCCTGCCATGTCGGCCCCACCCCCTGGGTGCATGCTGGGAAGGTGTCACCCTTTGTGAGGAATGAAGAAATGCACCATCGCCTGGAAGTGGCCAGCAAATGGCCCTCGCCTACTTCATATATCCGGCTTGATGGGCTCTGGGGGAATCCAAAAAGAAATGTGATGCCGCCCAGGCCCTAGCCTGCCTGGTTTTGGCAGACAGCAGGGCGCTCTCCTCACAGCGCCAAGAGGCTGAGCTGGGTGGTGCGAATCCCAAAAAAGCGCGAGGCTGCCCAGCTCCCAGCCTGCCCAGCAGCAGCCTTGAGGAGGAAATAAGTGCAGCTGGGCACCCCCTTGGGAAAGTGGGGCTGCGCTTGGTGCCGCAGGTGCTCGAGAGCCAGGCTGGGCATTTGACCTCTTCTGTCCAGGGCTCCCGGCAGCCCGCACCACTATCCAGCCCACCCCCTGCATGGCCTGAGAGGAACAATGAGGCTCCTCCAGTGGACTGTGCCTTGGCACTTGCCCTGGTCCCACTCCCTTCTACCAGAGACCCTCAGATCTGTCCCACTCCTGCCCAGGCCCCCACAGGCACCCTTGACACGAACAATGTAGAGCTGGGCACGCCCACCCAGGAGGCCACACCCATTCCATCCACACCCACCCAGTAGGCCGCACCCACCCTGACCACCCCCACCCCCCGAGGGCAATCGCAATGCTGATGCGGTCCTCAATGAAATTGAGTTTGACACCTCTGTTCTATTTGAAAAAGATTTCCTTTGCTGAGAGAGCTCATCTTATTCTAGACCAGATATGTCAAACTCAAGGCCTGGGGGCCGGATGCGGCCTGCAAAGTGGTTTCATGTGGCCCGCGAAGCCATCCTGGAAACAGTGAGGGAACGGACCCCGCTGCCTTGGCCCTGGCCCAGGCCAGCCAGGAGGGAGCCAATGTACAATGTTGTGGTGGCTATCTATGCTGAAACACATTCAGTCTTAGCTCCATAAGGCCGTCTGGAAACAGCGAGGAACCAGTCCCTGCCGCATCGGCCCCACCCCCTGGGTGCATGCTGGGGAGGTGTCACCCTTTGTGAGGAATGAAGAAATGCACCATCACCTGGAAGTGGCCAGCAAATGGCCCTCGCCTACTTCACATCATCATCATCATCATCATCATCATCATCATCATCATCATCATCATCATAAAGTTGGAAGGGACCTTGGAGGTCATCTAGTCCAACCCCCTGCTCAAACACATCCACGTTCCACAGTCCATGCATTTGCTTAGTGGAAACACATACCACGTCCCATATGGAGGTCGCACATGTGTACAGAAAAAGAAGTTCTATCCAGGGGGAAGGGGTGTTGTGTCCTGAGCCTGCGTTCGTTGCTGAGGTCCCGGGCTTCTGCAAGCTGCCCGGGACCAGACTGAGTGGCGCCAGCATAGCGTGCACGCGCGAGGCGCAAAAGCCCGCCGCTCCGTTGTTGCCTTTTTGCCCGGGGATCCGGTCTTTAAGAAAGGAGGCCTGCGAGCCTCATTGTTATTGAGAGCAAGCAGAAGGAGGAATAAAGAGCTGTTGAGAATACCCTGTGTGATCTTCATTTGCCACCGCTATCAGGACTTAACAATAACCTTTTGCTGGCATAAGTTCTATCTTTATTTTTGTGTTTCCTCTGCTTGCGGTTATGTCTAACTTCTGTTGACCTACTTATAGGTACCACAACAACTATCTTGCATATGCCAAAGCTCCTACTGTTAAAAATTCAAGTTACTCCAGTTTATAATTGTTAAACTCACTCCTTAAATTTTAGCTAAGATTATTAAGACTAAATGTCATTAAGCAATTTCTGTTATATATATTTTTACCTCTTACACTACCATTAGAAAATCCACCAATAATCTTTCTTTGTGCCACAGGAAAGTTGTCAAGAAAACACCCCCCCCCCCATCTTGTTTCATGGTAAAGTAAAAATATGGCATTTGGGACAGGGCAAATTACATGGGCATACTTTTATGTCATCCCACAAACCAGAGGCACTTAAACTGGGTGCATGGGTGTGCTCCTTTTAGCTCTAGTGAGCATTTTGGCATGTATACACACACAGAGAACAACTTTACAAATGCACATTTGTAGGACACTTCTTTGTTTCTAATACATGATTCTTTTCTAAGGGACAGCATAAAACATCAACAGGAAAATACTTTTCTTTTTCACCTTTCCAAGCCTGATGTGTGTCAAATGACTAAGATCATAATTTCCAAAAATCCAGCTTTATTCGGTTTTGTGGTGGCTGGAAATGATAGATGTTGCAGCCCAACATCCTTGAAAGGAAAAGATGGAGCAGGTGTAGGGGGAGAGGAACATGTCTCCAATTATTCAGTATTCATGGAAAAAACAAATTCTGCAGTTGAATCTAGTGTTTCAAATTGATTTTATCTAGAATATTTTTTTTGTCCACAGCTTTAGACAGCCAGCTTTGGGGCAGATAATTCCATATAAGTAAATATGCAGTGTGCCATTTTGTCACTATTAGAATTTAGCTGGTTAGGTTTCTTGGAATGCAGCCTTCAATCTGGATTTCAGCTGGCCATTCACTGTATCGATTCTTACTATTGTCAGAATGAATTATCTGTTTAAAAAGATACATACAAATTGTAATTCAATGTATGGCTTCATAATACATTACAAAAGGAATTTTTTCTATTATTTGATAAACAAAGGATGTGGAATGGGATTAAAACACACCACAAAATGTATCTTTTTGACAAATACATTAAATCAAATTCCCATATTAAGTGTATTTGGAGAGACAGAATCCCAGCACAAGACAGGTTTTTGCACACAGATTTTTCAATTACTGATTTGTTCAAAACAAAACAAAATAAGAACCCAATTCTGCTCTTCTAAGGAATATCATCGTTAATCCCAGCCACAGAGGAAAAAAGAGAACACTTGTAACCAGGGCCTAAGCGTTGGATGAGATCATCCAGCCCTCAGAGTTGCTGTCAGTTTATCATTCTGTCTTATAGCCTGAGTTAAGTAAAACTCAATGGCTGTTAAGCAAATAGATACGGATTAATTAAAAATCCACTTTTAACAACATTGGCTCATCTATCACATGCAAAAATCATAGGATTGTACTCTTATTTGGGAAATTAAATTATTCATTTAAATAATTCTTACCTTTTCCTTTTGTATATTTTCTGGTAGTTTAAAACCTTTTGCAGCTAAAAAGACCCAACCTGACCTAAATTTCAAATTCCGTATTTCCTTACTTCCCAATTCTGCTATTGCTTTTTTACCATCCTCTTTTAACCTGCAAGAAATAAGAGAAAAACTTGAAAGTGATCCTTTTGTGATTCAAAAGGAAAATCAACAGTTATTATGACCTAATCCTGCTAATATACAATGGCAGAGCCACTTTCTGATTATCTAGGGCCAGAAAGAAGTTGTAGGATAGCGTTCCCAAAACTGGCTCCCTCCGGTGCTTGTTATAGTTGAGAGTTTCATGGTAGCAACATGTATGGAGGAAACCTAGCTTGGAAATCCTGCTCAAATATTAGAATCTATAATCCATGATCAGATCTCCAGGAGACCTTAAGATTCAAGAAACATTAAGTCATGAAGCTCAAGTTCTTCATTCTTTTAACTCCTTCCTTCAAACTTGTGCAAATGAGCAAAATTATAAAGGATATAACAAAAATATACAAGAAATAATTTGGAATATTAACACTTTTTACATAATGAAATAACATTATTAATAACATTGCCCAATTAAAATACTGCAGTTGGTAGCCTTGTAGCAAACGGAGATGTAGTATATGTATTAGTAAATATCTCTATGGAATTTACCATGTAATATCAAAAATGGGAAGTCTTAGATATCCATTTGAAGCAATGGCTTTGGAGTAAAAGGCAGTGTTTAAAAGATTTCCTAATTGTGTCATAGAAAGAAGCTTCTAATTATGACAGAAAATCCATAGCAATGTGTATTTGGCAAAACTGAAGAGTAGAACTGATCATAAATTGATAATTGTTGTGTATTTGTAGGTTTGCAAGACTGAATAGAAGTCTAAATCTGCTTACTTACTTTGTACTTCCATCATCGTGGGTCACGATAAAGATTAGAGATTTCTGTGGAGCTTTGTTAATAAAATCAGTCATCGGTATAGAGAATTCTGTTGGTGGGAAAAAAAATCCCTTAGAGAAATATGTTATAAGTGAAACGTTTTCCTATCAAAGCCTCAATTGTATTTCATCCTGAGAAGTGAGATCCAAGCTACTACATCTCAGTTTTCACAGATGGGAGGGCAATCTCCCCTTTCCAGTCCTGCTCCAGATAATTTGGAGACTCTCTAAATCAAGGATGGGTGAGAGGCCTTGTTTTCATATATTTTCAGTACGAACAACAAAAATAAAAAAGACAAAAGATGCATAATTATGGCTTAATATAGCCCCAAGCCTTTTCTATTTACATCCCGACGCTGGATCTAATTCCATGACTCACAAATCTGTGATGGGATATCACAATCCATGTTTTCTCATTGCTCCTCCCTTTCCTCCCCCAAAATGCTTACACTAATTTATTATTTATTTATAAATCATATTTATATGGTTACCCATCTCAGAGAATGTGATTCTGGGCAGCATACAAAAAACAATAGAATAACAATATTAAAATGTAATACCATTAAGAATATTGATATTATTTTAAAAGGCTAGGCAAGAACATAGGTTAGAACAGTGGTTCTCAACCTTTTTAATGCCGCGACCCCAACCGGTCGTAAGTCGAGGACTAAACCGGTCGTAAGTCGAGGACTAAACCGGTCGTAAGTCAAGGACTAAACCGGTCGTAAGTCGAGGACTACCCAACCGGTCGTAAGTCGAGGACTTTCCCTGCCCGGGAGCGCTGCGCATGCGTGGTTCCGCCCCCTGCGCCGGCCGAGGCGTAGCTGGCAAGCGGCAGAGACGGAGCAGGCTGACCACCAGCTGGCCCAGCTCAAGGGAGGTAAGGCACCTGCTGGAAAAGGGGGAAAAAAATGGCGGACAGCCTTGCTTGGCAACCCCCATGAAATGGTCGATCGACCCCAAATGGGGTCGCGACCCATAGGTTGAAAACCGCTGGGTTAGAAGCTACCTCAGCCAAATCACTCTTCCCTTGAGAACCCTCTATTGTGAGCTGACATATACATGAACTTTAGTGTACTGTAGTGTAAACCATAAAAATAGGCAGGTTACAGTTTTAAAACCCACATCAACCCAAAGTTATTCAGACCCTTAGCCATGTCCACATGTGTCATATTGCTCCACCTCACTTTGAAATATTCAGTTAACCCAAAATAATATATGTGGCCTTTATCCACATGGGTGTTTCCAGGGAATCAAAATTCAAGATGATGGGCAAAATTGAATCCTTGCTTTTTAAAATCATGTTTGCATACATAACTGTTAATGAGGGCAGAGGTTTTGATCATGGCGTCATACCCCTTGACATGTTTTACCTTCCCCACCACTCCTGGCCACCCCTGGCTACCAAAATGTTCCCTATCCTGTTGTAAACAATGTGAGTAATTTAAAATAACAACAACAATATTGATAGATTCCATTCCATGAAAAAATAGGAACATTTCATCCAATTCTTTTACACTGAAGGCAAAGGAGCAAGAGAGGAAACACTTTCTAAAATAGAATTTTAGTTAACCATCCAAACAACTACCAGATAAATTTAGAATTAGTTTAAACAATCTGCTCAAAATCATTGCAATATTCTACCCTTCCTGTTCCTCACTTCTCTCTCTTCCAACATTTTGAGACTGATATCTGCCTGGTAGAAAATAATGTTTTTGTACTCTATTAAAAATGACCATAATATTTTTAATGGCTAGTTGTGCTATATTATCATAAAATAATTCTCATGTCTTTTTCACAAATAGACAGCCCAACCACACAGAGATGTGGGCAATGGCTAGCATATTTACCATCAACATGTTTACAAACTGGGTTGTGAAATTAGTTTATTTCCACTTAGAATACTTGAACTCTGGCCAGTTTTACATCTGTATTGTTGGAAACAACCATACTGATTGCTGATTGTACCTGATCTATTAATCTCTTTCCTATATAGAAAAAATAGTTTACAAGTAAATGATGATGATGTCATTTGGTTCCTCTGAGAAGTCCCATAAATGAAGCAGGTTAGCTATATGGTCAGGAAACACTCCAAATCAAATATCCATGATCCTAACCAAAAGTGCATGGTTGCAGACGTAATACATGTTACATATGTCGTTACAGATGTACTTGATCACAGAGATACTGAACTCATAAGCTGATACTGAACATGAGCTAAGCTTCTTACCTCCTTGCCACATGTCAAAATAATTTGCAGCAACAACTTTTCCAGTCTTATCTAAGAGAAACAATACGTATATGTATTGAAAACTGGTGAGACATATATAGAATAGAAAACTATTTTAGTGTTACATTCATAAAGCTGCAAACCAAATATTAAGTTTCTTTATATGGGCTGGTAGGGAGCCTTAATAAAATGTTGTTCAATTCCTATGTTTGCAAAATATTGATTTTGCTCATCTTCCACTTGGTTCTAACAGTGAAAAAAATCCACTGATTTATACAATCTGACTAGAATGCATATGACACTGTTATTATTTATAAAATATAAGCCCTGTTTTGATGAACAAACTTTTAAGGACAGCTGACAATAAGCAGTACAATCATCAGAAAAAGAGGTATAAATTTTTATATGTCCAAAATCCATGCAACATAAATAAAACAATTTATAATAACATTTTAAGAATGAGGCAATCTGCTCAGACATCATCCCAATACACAACGCACATATAATTACAGAGGAGACAAGCACGTAAAATGACAAAATGTGCCTCATGCTGTTACAATGACCTACTCATCTTTTTGCACTTATGTCATGATGTCACAGCTAAGTATATAAGGGGTAGCGTTTGCACTACAATATATGTTTTGTCATATGTTCCCTGTCCCTTATTCTTAAATGGATCCCTGTATTATAGCGCACATTTTAGAAAGCTGAATAAGTCTCTATAAAGCCACTTAATTACAGAAGCAAGGTTTTTGACTGGGACCTCTTGCACTTCTATTATACAGTAATTGGAATTGGGATTTCCATCCATAAGTGAAGTAGTTGTAAAGCAAGATGTCACATAACAGAATCACTTAATTACGGCAATCTCAGCATACTCGTTGTCACTGAATGAAGATCACCGGTCATTAAAATTATGACTTCCTCACAACTCCCTGCTAGCTTCCAACAACCAAAGTAAATGAAGAAGCCAGCATGAAGCTGCAGGTCCCAGGTGGCTCACAAGCAGACTAGTGGGCAGGTAAGTGACTGGGTGAGGGAAATTGTGTGGATGGCTAGGATAATGCGAACACTGTGGTGGTGGCTGCTGTTGGGTGGGGAAGGGTATGTATGGGTGCACTGGTGGCTAGTATGGCACACGCGCATCAGGACTGGAAGTGGCTACTACCAGATAAGAGATGATGTATGAGAGTGTGTGGGTGGCCAGAGCAGCATAGCATGGCACAAACATGGCTGGAGGTGGATGCTGCCAAGTGAGGAAGCTCATGCAGGGTCCATTTGTGGCTGTCAAGGTGCCGTGAATGCATGGCAAAACTGGCTGCTACCAGGTGGGTGAGGGTGCATAAGGGTGCACTAGTTGCCAGTGAGAAGCAAGGGTGATGGGGCTTGGGTAGCTGCCACTGGGTGAGGGAAAATTACCAAAGCAATTTTCAACCTTCTCTACGAGTTTCCCCATTGGTTTTGCTTGTGGGAAGCCAGCAGAGAAGATTGCAAATGGCAATAATGTGACCACAGAATGCTGCAACCATCATAAGTGTGAGTTGCTTACCAAGTACCCAGATCACAATCATGTGACCTCAGGGGTGCTGGGACAGCTGGAGCTTCAGAATGGATGTAATTGCCACTCGTTCAGCACTTTGAATGGTGACTGAACATGTGATCATTATATATATAAAATATCATTTTAGCCATTGTCTATTCACTGCAGGATGAAGGCCTCTTCCAGCCAAAACAGTCCTGAGCTTTGTTTTGCCAATTGGGCCCACAGTTCTTGCTGATGCCATTGATCCATCTTTTTTTTTTGTTTTAAGAAATGTTTTATTGTATTATTGTATGTTTTAAAGTATTTCTTTTCCTTCAGACACTTTTTAATCTTATGGCTGGCCCAGCATGTATTCTTTCTTTGTTCCCACCAGCTGTCTTATTAAAGTTCAAGGAAACAGATTATTCTTTGTTTCTTGGCATCTTGCCAATTTCTGAGTCAGTGTTATTAATGTTCTATGTTCTAGTTCTCCACTAGGTGTCAGTGGTTGTTTGTTTTCCAGCTTTCTCACACAAAAATTATTATTATTTTTATAGTTTCATCAAAACCCTTTAAAGTATAATCTTAACAGTTTTTTTATTTCTAGGTTTATCCAGACTGTAGTATTTTAACTTTGATTTCAATATATTTCTTTCCCCCTTAAAGGTTAATTTGCTGCTTCCATCTATGGGGGAGTGGGGGTGTAGTCCCCTTCCTTCACTTTTGGAGGTTTTCTTATTTTAGAGATCTTTCCCAAGTTACAGAGTAGAGGAGAAAAGACCGATACTCTCACCAGTTCTAAGCACGCTGTTCACTGTTGTTTCGTGCTCTTGTACTTCTTGGGTAGATGCTGGTGTGCTGCTAGCCTTTTTCCTGTCAGGTTAGAGGGCTTCCCCCAGATCAAAGGGAATGACCGCCGTTGTTCCGTGATCATCGGGGCACCCCTCTTTCTTTGTTGCCTCTCTGGGGCGACTTCAGACCCATTTAGGGTCCCCCGGCAGGACGAAATCAGCCGTGGGGTGTGAAGCTCTACAATCCCATGGCTGTGGGATATGACGCAAAAACCGGAAGTCCTGATCCATCTTGTTTTAGGTCTCCTTTGTGGATGCTTTTTATCAAGTGAGATCCATTCTATGACTGCCTTGGTCCACCTGCCATCAGTTCTTCTTGCTATGTGACCAGCCCATTTCCATTTCTTTTACTCGCTTGATGATATCATATACTTTCATTTATTCTCTAATCCACATGCAGATCTTTCTATCTTGTCTTGTAATGCCGAGCATGTATCTTTCCATGAGTCTTTGCACCATTCATAGCTTTTGTATCAATTGTGTTCATGTTTCACCAGCATATGTTAGAGTAGGTAGCACACACTGATCAAAAACTTTTCAGGCATGAGGTTGTTCTTGATTTTGATTGTAATTGTAAAATACAAACCAAATTTAAAATAAGTAGAGACAAGCAGTAAAAAGAGAAAGGAAAAGACTATAAAAAAGAGAAAAGAATATAATAAAGAGAAAAGAAATATATAAACAAATAATTTCTAACCTTCATCTCAAGTATAAACAAATATAACTCTTCCATTGCTGTAAAGTTTCAAACATTTATCTCTTTATCCCATATCCCACCTCTTGTAACAAATCCATAAAACATCATCTTTTCAGTCCTGGTAATAGCAGAAAGCTCAAAAAGGGTAGCTAGAAGTAACAACATATCTGTCAGCCCCCAATAACCAAGAAAGACATGTAGAATTACTTCTGAACAGTTTCCTTTATTGTTCCTCACCTATAGACAGAAATTGTGCCAAATTCAAACAACTATTTGCACCACTATAGATATACTCAGAGAATCAATAGGGGGGAGCCTTCTTAACTCTTTCTCCTGACCAAACTATGTATATTTTACTGTCTTTTTGCCTTCTGGAAGGCAAAAATTGTTCATTCTAATATTGTCATAGGATTTGGTTTCTCTTTCATTTCTTCTTTGTCTATTGCAAAACGTTCTTCCAAGCTTTAAAAAGCCTTTTTGTAAATCCAGTAGAAAAAAATTACCCAGGTCATTTTGTGTGTGTGTCATTTGTATTTTCTTTTTACATTTTAAACCTCAGCCAGTATTTTTATAGATCATTGCCTTGGCCTGTCAGTTGTGAATCCCTTTTTGATATATTCTCTATCTTATCAGAAAAAGATTGTTCTACAACTGACATTTCTTCAATAACATTTTTTGGACAAAGTCTATCCATAGAAGCAGACATCATTACTGACGTTGATATTGTGGCTACTATTTTCTCATTCCATTCTTTAAAAGTCTCCACTGGTTTCTTGATTTTTGCTATAGTACTTGGCTCTGCTTTTGAAAAGCCATCATCAAGTCACTATACCTCCCTTAGAAGCCCTAGCATTTTTTTTTCAAAAAAGAAAAAGGAACATATAGATATTTATTTAATGATATCTGTCAGTGAAAGATATTTCTCTTCTTTCTAAAATTCCTTTGCACGTCTTACATCTCCTTTACAAAGTTGGGAGCTTGGGAACTGAAGAAAACATATGCTAATGACAGTTTGCATGGAATTGGTTAGTTCCTGAGTTATAGGTTTTTTACTTACAATCTACAATGGCAATATTTATTCCTCTTCCAGCATTTCCTTCTTGTTTACTTAAGAGTCTGAAATTGAAATAAATATAAGGTATCACTATAGGACAGACCTTTTCCTATATTATCAATTATAAGAAGTTAATTGTTGTGTGACTTCGTATTTTATAATTATTTTAATAGAGTGATGGAAGCTTCAGAGTCACATGAATTTAAAGAAAGGCTTTGCCCTGAAAGGCTTATCTAGATGAAATTCTCATATTTTTTTTAAGCTATGGTTTAATAATCCTTGGTGATTTATAGGAATCATATAGCTTTACCTCCGATCTCGTCCTTTCTGGAGAGCTGGGCTCTTATCTTCCAGAATTTATAGTGAAAATAGCTACTGAGTGTCAAAGTATCTCAGTTATTTGGAATGTCAACATGGCCTTAAATACTTACAGTTTATCTTCAAAACAGATTTTGGGAAATCTCTCCTTCCCACCTCCACTGACTATGCGATAAGCATAATTCCCAGGCAAACATGGAGACCAGTGGTCACATTTCTGTCTTTTGGGGGCTGGCACTATAATAAAGAACAGAGAAGTAATCTTTGAGTCTATGCATTCGCAATTGAATCTTAATAGCTACAGTATAAACAGGAAATTAATTTGTTTAAGCAATACCTGTTTATTTTATTTTCATTATTGTAGATCTTTTTTGAAAAGCCTCATTGGTCAAGATCTTGACACTATAGTTATGATTAAATTTTTATTGGTACACTATAACAACTATAACTTAATATGCCAGTGACTGAACAGTTAAAAAAAATCACATAGATTCTAAACATAAAGAATAAATGGACATTTTTAAAATTAAAACCGTAAATAAAGTAGAGATATCATATATTAGGGAATCTCTGGTAACAGAAGATGAAATTGGATCATTTCTCCAGACATTGTTGGAAGACTGTAGGAAATGATGGAAATATATCTACAGAAATATTGCAAGCAGCAGAATAAAGATCAGGACAGGTTTAAACCAAACTGTGCTAGAAAATGTGGAACACAACACAATTTCCAACAGGATAAAAATTCATATCCAATTCATAATGTATCACATTTTGGATACATTATATGAAGGACTACCACAATAAGTCTGTGATGTGAGGAAAGGTTGGGAAACATCAAAGTGAGTGGGTTTGATTATAGTGGTGATTGATACACTGTTAAAGCACCTGAAGAGCTGAATTGGGAACAGGAGAAAGTCTAGTTTAGTAATCTCTAAGAGCTGATACAGATATCATGGCACATAATCTCTCAAAAGGAAGGAGATCTTTGCTTAAAAGAGATTCTATTTCAGTATCTTACTTAACCAAGAGTCTTAATTCATGTTTGTGTGTAATGAAAAGTATCATGGTCTTATTTATCTTATTTATCGGTACAAGCTAGGGAACTTTTATTCCTGTTTCAGACTGTGTTCTGGAGAATATTTTCTCTGTGAAATTGTCTTGTTATTCACAGTATTAATTTTGAATACCTAAAATTGCTGATAGTGTGCCCCAAGCTTTTATTTTATTTTAGTTTTTTCTTGAACATTTTCAGCTGATCAATTAGTATCTTTTTTAACAATGAATGTTTATATTTGTCTATTGGCATTTTAAAAAATAATTTTTCAATTTACAGTTCTATTTATTTTATTCATTTATCTTTTGATCTTCCCAACAAAACAATGTATTTCTCCCAACCGCTATCTACTCTTCTTTTCCTAAATATTTATGTTGTATCTCAACTGCAAAAATCCAGAGGGCTACAGTACAAAATTGGAGCTTTAATTGCACTGTTTCAGCTGTTTTGATTCTTCACTTTAACAAAACAAAGCACTACCTGACACATCAAAAACTAGTAAGAATATAAATTATATTGGGTTCACTAAGATTTATAAGTTTCCCTTTAACAAAATAAAACACTACCTGATAAATAAAAAACTAGCAAGATTATAAATTATATAGTCAAGCTGCAACATCTGTAAATATGTACATCCTGCCTTCATCTTCCATTTCCTGCTGCATGTTGTCCTTGAGAAAATGCAGCCAATGAAGTGTAATGAAGGTGGGCAAGGCTATGTCAATACATCTACTTGCTTTAACTAAACATGAATTGCGTATGTGAGCAGACGATGCTCAAAGATTTCAGAAACCAAAGGAGACAACGAACCTACATTAATCCATAGTCCAGCCATCCAAACTGGGGTAGCATCTAAGAACACACATTCTTTGGCAGATACAGAATGAAAACTCAGTGCATCTTAAACTTATATGTTGGAAATGTGATTACTTACTGTACATTTTTGGCTTTTCTGGAAGTAACTGATTAAATGTTGATGCTAATGGATCTTGAGGTATAAGATATGCCAATAATGTCCCCAAATACCAAGCACAGACAGATGCAAAGATAAAACCTCCAAATTTCATAAAATCTGAAAAAATAGAACAAAACAGGTAAAAAAAACCAAATAAGGCAAGAAGAAAAAAAATCACAATGATTTGATGCATGAATATATTGAATGATATGTAACTTAGTAGATTATTATTGGTATGCTAATTCATAAGCAGATAATGCATAAAATAGCTTAAATTAAAATATATTATTTAACTGACGCAGCTTAATTTAACATAGCTGTATGCAGATTCTGAGTAACCCAATTAGATATGTATTCATTTTATTCACTTTTTCTTCAGTGAATATGTGGATCTAGGCTAAGTCCAAAAAAATACAGAAAAATACTTTTGTGAATAGAGTTGCACTCTTCTTCCTAAATAAAATACTTAGAAAGTTAGTTTTAGTTAATAAAAAGAGAAAATGCCCATTGTTAATAAGGCCTTTTAAGACCAACATTTCCAAGCAGCTGAAATATAAAGTCTTGGAATTGAGCAAGTGGAGCTGGTATTCTCTCCTTTCAGTTAAAGCAGACTTAACATCAAACAGGGCTGTGACAGTAATAAAAAATGGTCAGTTAGGTGTAAAGCAGTAAATTATTCATATCTTTGGAACAGATCATAACTAGGAATAAAGCATGGGAACAACAAAGCTTATACTATAATATGTGAATCATCAAGGTCTTTATTGTTTTTTATTGTTCTGAAAAATCAGAAAACCATGTGATGCCACCAAAATCAACACCTAAAAAATCAACAGACATACATAAAGCTGTTAGTTAAAGAGCAAGGTGTTGTCAAACCCAGTCCAAGATTGGCATACAACAATCCAGACAAAGTTCAGTTCTTTATTTGTTCACACCATATAGACAAAATCTTGCCAGAATAAACCTATACTATTCTAAGCCTGGATGTTTCTAGGCAGTAGTTATCCTAAATCTCTTTTTTGGATCCAGCTCTAGGTTGTGTTGCCTCTTGTCTCAATGTCCTTCTTGGAATGTGATCCCTCCTTCCTGGGAAAAGGCTACTTCATCCTGGTCTATTACACCACCTCCCTCTTCAATCCACCACAAGTACATTTTTGATTTTGATTATTTGCCTTGAGCCATACTGAATGTGATGTCAACTGAAATCCATATGCAGTCTATCTGTCAATCAAGAAATTGTTTTACACATCAAATGAAATGAAATAATATAATATAATATAATAATTTAAAAAGCCAAACAAACCATTTTCAATAAATATACAAACATACAGAGGAATTACCAACTTGGATCTTTGGTTTTATTTTGCATTAATCAAGCCTGGTGCTCATTGCAAGGTTTCTTTGCTTCCAAGAATTTGAGATTTAACAGCGTAACAGATCTGTACACAATGCTTTATTGTGGTACACACCTTTCCCATCAACAGGCTACTCTGGTCTTAATTCCATCCTCCATACAACCTCTACCTTTCTCCAAAAATTCTTGTGCTGGCTGGGATGAAATGTTGCCTCAGTGTGGTTGCTCCTTTTTTGGTAGCTTCCAAGCTCCACTCTTAAGGAGTGTTGCTTCTGAGCACTTTAAAAGCTTGTGGTCCTGGCAGTTATCTGAGAGTCATGTTGCCTGCCTGCTTTCAGTCTTAAGAAATTGCCTCCATCTGGTTGCCATTTTCTTATCGCCTTTTCCTCTATAAACCTGTTAGATCGCGCAGGCAGTAAGATACGAGTCGAGTGACAGTCAGCTCTCGGTTTATTGGCAAGGCATAAAGTAAATCCGGAATGGCATCTGGGCCAGGGGAGCCCTCTTTTATGGGATTCCCCTGGCTCGTAATCACACAATTCCATTGGCTGGTAAGACCCCGTTGCGAATTAGCCAACCAGCAACGGGCATGAAACTGTATGCAGATGGAGAAGGGCAATCACCCTTAATGGGTGATCAGGATGCGCATAGGGATTAAGGGGGGGAATACAAAAGAACACAACACCCCTCCCCTCAAAGTTCTTGCTATCGTCCTTGATGAATAATGGTTACATAGTCCTTCAGATATGTGGGAGGCCGATGCCCTCGCATTGATCGGCGGGGAACTGTGTGACTTGGTTCAGCTCTTGCCTCGGTACTCTTCCCTCTGCGTGGTTGTCCTTGGGCCGCTGCAATGGGTCTCGCTTCTCGAGGTGGTTGACTGACGGGTGGAACCAATGGCCAATACTCGTCCCCGCCATTGTCTCTGGCCCTGCCCGTGTTGTCGGCCACGCTTTCTTGGTGTAACCCAGCGACCCCGATTCGGCCCCTCAGTTGATCAAGGTGGCGCCGCCAAACCCAGTTGTCCTCCACGTGAACTTTGTAGGATCTGGGCCCGGCGATAGAGATGATGGTCGCTTTCACCCACTTCGGCTCCCCCTCCGTAAAACCCCGAGTTACCTTTCTGGATTCCGGTGGCGTGTCCATTTGGTAGCTGGGATGGAGGCGATCCAGGGGTGACCTCAGTCGGCGACCCATGAACATCTCCGCTGGGCTCCGGCCGGTGGCGGCGCAGGGTGTGTTGTGCTGCGCCAGGAGGAACTGTTCGAGCATTTCTCGCCGTGCGCTGGCCCCCATTCTGGTGAGCGCTTCTTTGGTGAGCCTCACCATCCGTTCCGCCCGTCCATTGCTCTGAGGGCTGTAGGGCGCGATCAGCGTGTGACGGATGCCCAAGTTCGCCAGGAACTCTTCCATGTCCTTCGCGGTTAGTTGCGGCCCGTTATCGGACACCAGGACGTCTGGTAATCCGTGGGTCGCAAACAGTCTGTCCAGGGCCTTGATGGTAGCACTTGTTGTGGTGGACGGCATGGGGATCACCTCCAACCACTTTGAGTAGGCATCCACCGTTATTAAATAAGATCGGCCCTCCACGGGGCCGGCAAAGTCAACGTGGAGACGGGACCACGATGCTCGTGGGATCTCCCACTCCAATGGGGTCGCTTTCGGTGGGGCTGAGCGGGATTCCTGGCAAGGCTCACAGGTGGCTACCCACTCCTGTATGTCCTTGTCCAGCTGTGGCCACCACAAATAGCTCCGAGCCAGCGCTTTCATACGCACGATCCCCGGGTGCCCCACGTGTAAGGTATTAATCACCTTTTTCCGTAGGGCTTGT